TTCTTTTCTTTTCTTTTCTTTTCTTTTCTTTTCTTTTCTTTTCTTTTTCGAGACAGGATTTCTCTGTAGCTTTGGAGCCTATCCTGGAACTAGCTCTTGCACACCAGGTTGGCCTCGAACTCACAGAGATCCGCCTTCCTCTGCCTCCAGTGCTGGGATTAAAGGCATATGGCACCACCGCTTGGTGAGAATCCCTTTCTTACACCGTACCAAAGCAGTACAGTTCCTAACTGCGTTCCTATAATTTAACGTTATATCCTACTCTCCTCAAAGAAGCATCTCCTTGCAACAAAGAGACCATTGCAGAAGCCACACCCAGTCAAAATGAACAAGGCAACTGGTTATGGGGTGACCAGACCTAGTGGATGCTTACACAAATCCTGAACTCAGGGTTCAGAGAACATTGTGGAAGAAGGGGCGGAAAGACTGCAAGAGCCGGAGGTCCAAGGAATCTGATGTGCAATTGTGTTTCCATTTTGATTGGGATACTCATGATACCTCAACAATATAATTGCCTAAATAAGATCTGGCTAAGGACAGCACCAGGGGACATGCTAATGGAGAGGAAACAAATTTTACAGGATTCTAACCCTAGACAAAGAGCTATAAGCAACGAAGGAATGCTGACATCTGAGAGACGAGAATTGTCTTCCCCAGGGATTAATATCCTAGTTGGTTATTCAATGTCAAGTGGTCATCTCTGAAATCATACACATACAAGGACAATAAACTGACCCATCAGGGGTTGTACTTACACATTAAAGCACATATATGTTGGATAATAACAAAAAAGACCATGAATTACAGAAGGTCTGGGGGAAGAAAGGGAAGGGGAACATGATATAATTATATTTTGACTTTAAAAAGTTAAATAAAAAATTGCATCACATAAAAGTATATCTGCAAAAAAGCAAAAAGTAGCCGGGTGGTGGTGTCATGCGCCTTTAATCCCAGCACTCGGGAGGCAGAGGCAGGCGGATCTCTGTTAGTTCGAGGCTAGTCTGGTCTACAAGAACTAGTTCCAGGACAGGCTCCAAAAGCTATTGAGAAATGCTGTCTCAAAATAAAAGTAAAAGTAAACAAAACAGTACCAGAGAGATGGCTCAGCAGTTAAGAGCAGTGGTTGCTTTGCAGAAGACCCAGGTTCTGTTCCCAGCACCCACATAGCAGCTTGCATATGCAACTCTAGTATGTGGTGGAAAGACATACAAGCTGGCAAAACATTCATAAACATAAAATAAAGACAAACCTTTTTTTAAAATAAGATAAATTGGAAAAGACTGAGGCTCATGAGCACACAGACACACAGACACAAACACATCAAATACTACAAGCCTGGGCTGATAGGTTTGCTGTGGATATTTTAATTTTTAGATGGGGCTGGATCCAAATACCCTTGATTTAGAAGCAGCAATTAAAGATTATTTTTTAGTTTATAAAGTATGATATACATCATCTTATTTATTTCCCCTCAGACACTGTAGACTGGACAAAATATTTATATCACCTATTTTTCTAGAAGATAGAACGGGGTTCAGTGGGTGAGTAATTTTCCTCAATATCACACCGTGTGACAGCAGTAGAACCGGGCTCCAACTAAGCACCCAAACACATCCTCTTTCTTCTCAACGCACACAGTATGCATTGAGATATGTCCTGGCCAGAAAGCTGCCAGGTAGAGGCAGTATTACCAAGGGTTGGCAGCCAACGTACTTGTGTGAGTTTCCAAATCACCCAAATTTGGCTAACCAAACAGTCCCCAGGGCTGAGGAGATGGCTCAGTGAGTAAAATAGCTTTCTATCCAGCCTGATGACTGGAGTTTGAATTCCTTGACCTGTGTGGTAGAAAGAGAGAGCTGTCTCCTGAAACTTCTGAAAGTTGTCTTCTGACCTCCACATACATGTAAATAGATAAAAGAACAAGGAGTCCTAAGGATTCCCCCATGAGGCTTACTTGCTTGTGTGTCCTGTCTTTTTGTCTTTTGGGTGACGGAACAAATAGAAATTCATTCTCCACCTGAGTATAAGTTTATGTCATGAGTGAAGAGAATACTTGGGGCTGGGAGTTGGCTCAGAGGCAGACTGCTTCTACAGTGTGCCCAGCACCCTGGGTTCAATTCTTTGCAGCAGAACACATGCAAAAAAAAGCCAGAAAAAAGGGGCTACTTTCTGCTTCTCACAAACCACCCTTTCCAGTCCTTTAGTTGAAGGGTAGCATTTCAGATCTCTGGCTGTGGCCCGTGGTGACATAATTAAAAGCAAAACGAAAGAAAACAAAAAGCTGATAAAGCCCGTGTTTTAAGTCACCCTGAATTCAAAGCCCAATTCAGTCTCTAGGGAGCCATGGGACTACAGGACACTTAGCCTGTTGGATGACAAATCTCCACATATTCACCTGGAAAGTGGCAGGAGCATTGTGTACCACCAGAGTGGGAATTGAGTAGAGTTTAAGACTTGGCACAAAGTAGGCCCTTTAGAAATGGGTTGCTCCCCTCTCAATCTAGGGCAGAGATGGACATTCATTTCATTCTGTACACACACCAGCAAATAGCCCATGGCCTTCAGGGGTCCAAGATGTTTGCTTTCCTTAGAGAAGCAATAACTAAGATGACTAAAATGGGGCCAAGGTATAAAGCTAGGTGAGAAAAATGACCAGAGCGGTATTTTTATAACAGTATCTCATTCTTTTATATTTAAAGTGATTTAATTACTATTGATATGTGTCTTTCCACTTATCTGGACATTTATTAAATTTTTTTATGATTAATAATTGCTTTACCTTTAGCAGGGACCAAATGCAATCTTTAAACAGGATGACAGTCACTGGCAACTTGATTGGGAAGACAAAGAAAAATGGCTTGCTGAACAGGTGGGGGAGAGGAGAGAAAGGGACTGGGAGAGAGTGGATGGCTAATTCTGCCCACGCCCACAGTTCTTTCATGATTCTCACTCCTTCACAAGTTCTAAAGCCAAGGGGAGCACTCACCCAGTCTCTGCAATGATTTCGGGAGCCACATATGTTGGGGTGCCACAGACTGTGTACAGAGGGCCATCAACAATGGTGGCCAGACCAAAGTCACCCAACTTGAGCGACTTACTGCCGTCCTGGTGCTCATACACCTAAAGAAGAAAAAGGTATAAAGCAATAAGTGTCTTAGAGCCAAGAGCACTGAGCCCTAAGTTTAATGCAAATGAAACAAACAACAAAGGCCCAGGCGATCGCGCACAGATAGCCATTCCAGAGCATCTTTCTTAATTTCATTGCAGTATTAGAAGCAATGAAGGAATGGCAAATGGAAATTTGTTTAGCAAATAATGGGGGCGTTTATACAACAAGATGGAGGTGCTCATGGAAACGGTGATGTGGGCAAAGGAGCTGCCTTTCACCAAGCCTGATGATACACGTTCATCCCAGGACCCACGCACATGGTGGACAGACAGACAGACACACACACACACGCATATACACAAATACACACACACACACTCATACAATTCTCTCACACATACATCCACTCACACACACATATACACATACACACACACTCAAATAATATATACACACAAACACATATACATTTGTACATATGTGAACACACACAATACACACACTCTCTCACACACATACACATACTTACACATACACATAGGCACTCACACAATACACACAGTAAATAATAAATAAAAGGAAAAACAAATTAAATGGTAATATAGGGTCATATTTACTGAAAAGACTTAAACTTGGGAAGTGAAGACAGGAGCTTCATGTTGTTTTGTACCTGTCCATTAAAAACACATGAGGCCAAAATCTGAAATAACAGTAGGAACTGGCATTCCTGCTCTGGGAAGCAATTACGAAGATTTCTCTCTCTTTGCCTATGTGCATTTGATGTTTTCCACAAAAGGAAAACCAGAAAGTTTCTCACTCTGAACATACCATTCATGAAAGCAGTCACTTCCTTTCCACACACCACCCTTCAGTAATAGAACAAAACATCCACACAGATATTAAAATACTTTGTTTTCAGTGCCCCACATTTCCAGCAAGATCTATTTATAATTTTTATTAATAATTGAAGAGCATGTTAACATTTCATTTCACCTGTGGCAATCTGGAAAGATTTATTGGGTGTAGAGCCAGCACTCAGCCTTGCTTTCCTTATTAGGGCAGTACGTCTGCAGTCTTCCTCTGAACAAATCAAAACAAGCAGGCTCGTGCCTCTTAGGCAAATCTGTAAACCCCTTAATGGGAGCCCAAGATGTCACCAAAAGGGTATTTTTTTTTAAAAAAAAAAGCAGCCTAAACAACTTCATTGATTACAAAAAGGGTAAAAGGGCACGCAGAATTCTCACTCGGTGCCTTCTCCTGGGATCAGTAAGATGGAGAAAGCCACAGGTCAATCCTGTCTCCGAATCTCAAGAACAATCTTCAAGAGACCCTCCAAAGGAATGGCCAAGCTTTCTACATTTATCAAAATGATTTACCCAGCAAGTTGAGGCTCGCTCATCCCTCTGTTAGTTCTTGCCAAAGAGGTCACTTGCTGAAGCCTCGTGGGCCTCTGGCACAGCAAGGCACATCTCCACATATCAGGAGCACTACTACAGGCTACCTCCGTCTGCCTTGGCAAGCCACCAAAGCCCTGGGGCAGATGCTTGGCCAGCTCAGCTGCAGGGTCAGCGATGACCAATTGGAGCTGACTGTTTCGGTGAGGCAGATCTACTTCTCAGGGGCAACCATGTTTTCTGTATAGAAATGATTTATCTATATCTTATTCACATGCACAATGGGGATTCTTTGTCTCTGGGGTTGTGGATCCTGATCACGTTTGGTCTGCCCTTGGCTAGGCATCCAAAGACTTAAGCAATCACCTGCAGTTTGGCTGCTTGGGAAAAGACAGACACATGTCCAGTTGTCCTCCGGGGTGGGTGCTATCTTCTCTGCTTAGCGAAGCAGCTGTGCGGGTTTAAGTTCGCACTTGGAGGCACCAGATCTATGAAACACTATAGTTTCTCCAGCCTAAATGTTATTGTGCTGGCCATTCTGGTCATCCAAACAATAAGCAAATGTTTTCCATGAAAGGAAACCTGAGATGGGACCATTGAGATTGGCTGTCTAGTTCATTTCCCGTATAGACCAGAGCTGTTTACCTCCTGAATTCCATTTTGGTATCAATAACTTTTCTAAATTGCAGAATACCCCTTTGCTTTGATGTTGTGTGGGGTCTGAGCCCTCACCATGTGTGCTTTGCCAAGCCGAGCAGATTATGATATATTCAACCCCATTTGTACAGGAAGTTCCCCACCCCTAAACACAGTATCTGTATCACCGAGCTTCAGTCACAAGTTTGGCAAAACCAGATGTTGGAGGACGCAGTCAGCAGAGGCTTGTTGTGGTTCTGGATATGACTGTAATGTTCTCACAGGAGGGCTACTAATGATCAGCGCTTTAATAGGAATTCTGCCTAAGTGCATTCAAGTTATATTTAATACAGATAAACAATGTAGTTGAAATGAAGGGAAATGTTAAGGACTGGGTTTCACTCTCCAGCACTGCAAAAAAAAAAAAAAATCCCAACCAACAAAAGGAAAAGAAAACATAAACATGCTACCTAAAACAATGGAGGCATCCTTTAAAACATTAGTGCTCCCACAAACTGCAAAACATTTACATACATTGAACCTATACTTTTATATTCTTTTTTTAGTCCTTTAGTCACATGTGTGTACAATTATCCCCTGCTATTTTAATATTTGAAAACTGTGCAGTTTTCACGAGTGTAAAGAGACTCAAGTTGTCGCCTGGCAAACAGCTTGGAGACAAAGGCGGACTCCATGTAACTGAGAACACTTCAAGACCCAAGGCCTCTGCGAAGGCTTTCACAAAACGCTTTTGCAGGTGGATGAATATCTGTCCCAGCCTCTGGTTGGGAATTCTGTTTAACTTGTTGTCAGGCAGGGCAGGAAGCAAGGTTACTTTGGGGTTTCTCCTCTGTCAACACTTCAGGAGAAGGATGGAGAAGAGTGGGCTCAGTGTTTGTTCTCGTCCAATGGGAGTGCCCCTTTCTGACATGGCACACTGAGCTCTCACCAATGGGGCTCATTATGCGTGCTCCCTGCAGCCAGAGGGCATTAATTCTATTTTGGTTGCTTTGTTTTGATTTTTTTTTTTTTGAGACACAGTTTCTTTGTATAGGTCTGGCTATCCTGGAACTAACTCTGTAGACCAGGCTGGCCTTGAACTCACAGAGATCTGCCTGCCACTGCCTCCTGAGTAAGGGACTTACAGGGATGCACCAATGAGGTGCATCAGACCTGTGACCAGTGAGGCCACTTGTAGATGTAACTAAAACTGTATTTTAAGAAAATCACAACTTTCTCAATTCATTTGTCTGTGGTGTATACACTCCCAAAGCTATCTGTCCATGGTATTTCCATGGCGACCAAGGTTTTAAGAGTTCAAAAAACATGAAGGTTGCTCACAAATTCCTATTTAAGATGCGAAAGCCTCAGGGTGGAAGAAATGGCTCAGCCATTCAAAGCACTTTCTGTTTTCCCAGAGGACCCACGTTTAGTACCTAGCACCATACCTTGTGGTTCACAACTACCTGTAGCTCTGGCTCTAGGGCATCTGACACCCTCCTCTGGTCCCCATGGGCACTGTGCTCATGTGAACACACATACTCAAAAATAAAATTTTAAAGTTGCTGTCAAGCTTCACAAAATAAAATGCAAACTTATTATTATTATTATTATTGAAAAAAAGGCAAGTCTCAGAATGAATTCTGAGGTTCTGTTGGGGCAGCTCTCCACACTATGACCATGTGACCAGTCCTCAGGAAGGATGCTACCAGACTCCAAGTACAGGCCTGACAATCTAACCCCCTGAGTTGGGCTCTGGTGGAGGGGGACCATTTTGCCACAACTGTATGTCAAAGCCTCTATAAAACATGACCCCCACGTTGAGCGGGAGCACATTAATTGTCAGTCAAGGAGTTCACAGCACGAGGTATAATTTAACGTTCATCCCAGGCCCCTTAAATGCTATAGCTGTTCCCCCACATTTTAAACACTGAGGGGCTATTAAAAAGACGGGGATTAGTGCAAATTACCCAGCATGTAGTGCTCGCACTGTTTTAACTAAGCAATAAAACGGTGTAATTGTACAACAGTAATTGAGTGCAGCCACACGTAATTGTGGGCTGCCATATGCATCCCATTACCGTAAAGACTGTCAGGGTTTTGTAAGCTACCCTTGTGATCATTGCAGATGGCTACAGTCAGGGAAGTAGTTCTCTTGGGTTTATTGTATGGCCATAAAGACATCTCATGGTTTGACAGACTAAACGTGTCAAATGACAACAATTATGAAAAGGGTTTCAATTAGAAGCGGAGGGCACGCCCTACAGGGGATCAATATACGGAAAATTCAACGTATAGATTGGGGAGATGCTGGCCTTTATTTTTAAAGGTGGCTTTATTTTGGGATCATTCAGGGTTATCTGGAGTTTTGGGTCGGCTGTAACTTGTTGAACAGTAGGTATTTGGGCATCTGCTGGCTTCTCTCGGATGGAAAGCTGAGACCATTTGGAAAAGTTTTTTCTTTGGAAAAAAATTAATATATCCTCATAAAACTTCAGCAGTGACCATAAAATATGAAAACTCACAGATAACCCGAGCCTGGCCAAGTGGTTTCTGAGATTTGTCTGATGGGGGAGGAGAAGCTGAGTGATAAAACAGATGCGTCAGAACCGCAGGGCTCCCAGAGTTGCTACAAATTCAAGGCTAGCCCTGCTGCAGCAAGGGCCGGCGACTCGCTAGTAACCGTGGAAATAGCATCACGGAGCTGCTCAGTGGGAACTAACAATGATGTCACCAAATAGACTTGACAAAGTGGCGGGAAATGGACAAAGCCATGAGACGGGCTCGTTTTCCCTTTTATTATATATGGAGTCCCTTTAAAAAGAGACTGATTTTCCTGAAGCCGAGGCATATGGCCCTCACAAATGAGGACCTTGGACTTCCCAAAGGGTAGGGAAACCCTGACTGCTCTTTGGCCTGGAGAAGTAGGGGGAGGAGGAGTGGGGGCGGGGAGAGGGAAGTGGAAGGAGGGGAGGAGGTGG